TGCAAGCAGAGAACCTTGACTGAAACAACTCTTCAGAGGCACAGATACCGACATATACTGATTAAGGTCTGCCTTTATTATGTGCTTATCATACAGGTGACAAATATTAAATTGAAATCAGTCTCTTAGAAAATTACCTCATGTTGAAAAAAGTAGTACAGTAATTTTCTTGTTCAACTGATCAAAGGCAGGAACAAGTTGGCAAGCCCTCCAGAATCTTGGCTACATTTGTCTTTTGAAAAATGGCTTCTGGGAGCTTAGATTTCTCAGGAAGCACAGAAAGTTCAGAAAGCTGTAAATGTGCTTAACCAGGTACTTTCCCCGTGACACGTCCTTTCCTAGAAAGGTTCTGGGAGGACCAGAAGTATTTGTTGCAACATGTCCCCTCAACCTCTCCACCCCCAGGAGAGAGGGGAACACAGGAGTCAGGCCCGGAAACTGCTGGCTGGCTGGTCAAAGGCAGCTGCAGCCTAGGTGCTAAAAGAGCCCTGGTCATCAGGACTTTTGGGTCTAACAGTAAAAGCTAGAAGAGGTGACTGTGTCTACCGAACATTATAGCATGTGGCTGAGTTCTACTCAATAACTGTCTTGAAGATTCATCTGATTCTTTTCTCTTCCTGGGATTGGCAAAGGGAGCAAAGGCCTTTCAATACGTTGAAACTGCTGTAATACCTGGAGTTCACAGTTCACAGAAATGATAAGCCAACAGTAAAGGGACACCAGGACCTGCTAACTGGAGTGATTCACTCAGTGAACAAAAGCTCCTACAACATTCCTGGCTTCTTGTGGGGGAGATAAATTATAAAACAAGAAGCTTGCTCACTGTAAGGTAATCTGCAATCGAATAAAAAAGTAAGGCATGTGTATATGAAACAACAACAACAAGCAAAGCAGGAAGAATGCCAACTACCAGATACAGGTAGTAAGGACATAAAAATCAGGAGTTCAAAACCTTGTGATCTATTTCCCCAAGCTGTAGAGCTCAAGACAGTTCTTATCATGTTAACACAGAAATTTTATTGAGCTGATTTCAGGGCCCAAAGAATAATCAGAAGAGTATGCCTGTATAAGACAGGAAAGCATAAGATAATACTGATGAAAATTGTACCTTTCGGAAAGTAAGAAATGACAGAGTAATCTGTCTCATCATTGAATGCCTTGCACCTAGTGGAGACTTAAATGGATCTTTTGATTTGACTAAGCAACAAATATTTAATCCCTTTCAACATCAGCTATCAACACTTGTGTTTAGGAAAGAGGCACAGTAATATTTAGAAATAAATAAACCCGAGCTCACAGTATTCAGAAGTCCTCAAACACATTCTCGTACTTGGGCTGAGTCCAAGCAGCTCACCTATAAATATTACTTGTTTGGGAAAGCAAGTCCAAGAACAGGATAGTGGATACACGCCCAGGGAGGAATTAATCTGTTTTTTTGGTAAAAGTTTGCAATTTATTACAAGCTCCCCTGGAAATGAAGATCCCTGGAACACTGAGTAAGGGCCCTGAAGAGACATGCAATTCAATGCCACTACCTGGGGCAGAGGCTGTGGCCTGGACTCCCCTTGACCACTGTGCCAGCCCCCAGCTAAACAGTGAGACTTTCAATTCAATGTAGTAACACCTACACAAGAGCAAAAGAAATTCCAGTATTTCAGCATGGCAGTCCCCCAGCTAGACCAATTTCACAGCAAACAAAACTGTGAACAATTCCTCAGTTAAGAACGGGCCATATCATCTGTAAGCTACATTCTGCTTTACAAAATATATGAACTTGGAAGCAAGAACAAAAGTTAGGCTGGACAATACTGGAAAATGTTTGTTTTTATTAATGCTACCACCATAGATTATGGCCAATGTGGCAGTAGGTGCAAAGAAGCTTTTTAATAAACCAAATGGTTATTTATGTTATATCTTTAGGGTCACAAAATAATACAAATCACAACACACTGCCTCCAAGTAATTGCTAATAAAATGCACACCAGTTCCTTTAAGCTATTTATAAAATATTAGAGCATACTGTAACCAGAAACTTCTGTAGGAAATTCTAACCAAGACATAAAATATTATTATTATTAAGTAGGTATCATAAATATAAGAAAATAAAAAATTCAAACTTCTTAGCCTGGATTCAAAAGCTTTCAGAAGCACATTCTAAGCCTTTTTTTTTTTTTTCTTTTTTTTTGGTTCTTATTTCTTCAGTTCTCCTCTATAGGAATTCTGTTCTAGTAAAACTGGCCAATTTATACACTGCATGCACATACCTTCTTCTGAACATCTACTCTAGCCATTCCTCCTCCCCAAAGTGCCCCTCCCTCAGCTCTGCCCTTGCCTCTTTCTGGCCTGCAAATTTCTGCCTAGCCCTGGTTAACCTTCTCTGCCTCCCTGACAGCCCATTGCATTTATTCCCTTATGTATCAACAGCTATCTATTGATTTGAATAATCATTTCAACAATGGTGAGGGGCAGGAGAGGAGGCTTTCAGCTGTTTAAGCTTACAAATTATTTACCTATTCATAAAGCAAGTATCTTTTGAACACCTACTGTGTACAAGATACAATGCCAGGGACAATGAATAATGCCAAGATGGAACTGACACAAGATTTACTTTCAAAGAGCCTAGAAACTAGTCAGGAAAATAAGATCAATACCCAAATCATCATAACTAATACAAGCTAGGCAACTATCAATACTCCAGTATGGGTTCTGCAAGAGGGTGGGATCACTTAGTACCACAGGGGGAGCAGAGAAGAATGAAGAGGAATCGGCAGTTGGGTGGAACAGGAAGGAGACAGACGACATTATTTCCTTAATAAGCTTTAACAAAGGCAAGGAGGGAGCGGAGCTCAGGAAGTTAATGGAGGAAGCAAGGGGTGATGCTTTAAAATTCATACACGTTGTAGAGAAAATGGAGCAAATGTGAACATAATTTATATTATGAACTAAAGGGAATTAAACGTATTGAGGAATTCAGATGTCAGTTACTATATTAGGCAGTATGTTAAGTAACCAAGAGATGTGGGAAGATTTCACAGGATAATTATGATCTCTGAGAAAAATCTGTATTATTATGTTTTATGATGTTGATTTTTAACTGAATGGTATCCAACACAGTAAAGTCTGCTTAACTAGAATTGATACAAAGAGCTCAAATAACACACATTAAGCATTCTTCAATGTGTTCAATGAATAGGGCATAAATTCCACATCATCTTCTACATCTGTGTGTCTGTACAATGAATGATCTTCATATGAAAATTTAACACCAAGGCGAGATCCTGAAGGATTCTTCTGGAGCACCAAGAAAGATGATTTTTTGGTATAATTAAGGAGACCGCATTATACTTTAATGTGTAAACTGGCAATATGTATGTATATATGTAAAATACACAAACAAACATCAATTACACCACACATGTGGTAACTCAGACAGAATTCATCAGATCATCATGCCATCAACCAAATGTAGATGGGAAAAGTCACTGGCATTTAAAAAAATTCCTTCTACAAAATAGTCTCACAATTCCAACAAAACAAGCATGCCACCTATTTCAGAAACTGCTTACAGTGAGATTTCTTCAGGGGTGGGCCGGGGGAGGGGGGGACCCTGATCCTTTTAAATTCAGACTGCTTCCATATCCAGGCAGCCTCATCTGATTCAGGTACCATATTCCCATGAACCTACCCAGATCTTTTCACTCTTGAGAGTAAAAGCAGGGAGGGTTATTTGTGGAGAGACTGTCGTTGCCATCGGAAAACTAACTGTGAAGGTATCAACTAGATAAGAAGCAGCCAGTTGATTTCAAAGAACCACCCCCCCAAACAGAAATGCCCGATTTGAAAATGATCTGAATATTTAGAAGCTTCTAAATGGTAACAGAAGCAGAGGTACAGAGAACTGCTTTATTTTACTTATGATTCATGTTTGTGAGTTACGTCTCAGTTAATGAGTCACACTGGGCATGCCTACTTCTTCCTAGTACTCATTGATACTGGTATATGGAAATATCCTCAAGAGTAGATTATCAAGAGTACTGAGAGAATGCAAGTTCTGACGGAAGGTCCTGAAATAAATGTAGGTGCAAAGGTAGTGTTCTGTAAACAAAAGGTGAGGTTTTACCATCTTATTATAAGATCAGCATCTACAAGTTGTAAGGAACAAAGACTACATCCATCAGTAGACATACTGATTAACAGGAGGACATTTCTACAAATCCCAAACAGATTCCGCTTCCCTTATAAACTCCTGGCATAAACTCAAACCTGGAGACATCCTCAGATGCACCAACCTTGTTGGGCATTATGTAGCTATAATATTTGGAGGGTGATTAATTACAGCAATTGTTTTCACCTGAATAAACAAATATGATTTTCTATTTCAAGTAAGAAAAAATGCTGAATATTGGGAAAGTTTGCTTGTTTTCTAAAAAGCTAAAAATTAATTTTTCCCCCCCCTAACCCTTTCTCAAGTGATTTTAGAAGTTTCCATTACTCTAATACAACTCCAGGGAAACGTGTTTGAAAGGTTACTGGAAGTGACAGATGGGCCTATTTTGAAATAAAATTAAGCCTGTGGTACTACTGAAAGGAAGTCACGAAATCCAAAATTAAACTGGACAGAATGGTCTTAAGCTGTTTTTGTTCTTTTTTCAAGGGAGTACAAAGAGTGGGAGGTTGAAGCAAGGCCACTGCTTCTCATCTGAATCCCCTCACTTGGGTCAATTTGTCTTGAACTGACAAACTGTCTTCTTAAGGTAATGTGTGCCCCTACATTTTAAACATCCATGTATCTATTGTTGAATATACAAACGTCCTTCAGTGATATCACTAAGAATACAACTCCAATTTTTTATAGTTATAACTTTAAAGACTTAAGAAAAAAGAAAACAGTTATAAACAACTTGTTGAGCCACTGAAAGCCCCATTTAGGATGAGATGGAAAACGACCATTAAAAAAGCCACCACACATCCCAGCTCTTCCCAGGAGGAGCTACGCCTACCTTATTGTGCTCGTACTTGTAGGGGATCTTGAGCGTGTCCATGGCTCTGATCATAGCCTGCATGGCCGTGAAGATGTTCTGATACACCAGCTTGGTGAAGCCCCTTTTGTCTTCATCAGAGTAGCCCGACCCATGGATGATTCTCATCTGCTTGATAAACGTACTCTTGCCACTCTCTCCTGTCCCTGAAAGAGAAACAACAGCAGCTCATCAGACCATGAGACCTTCTCACAGTCTCCCAGACAACTAAACTAGGAACAGGACTTGGACGTGACATCTCCAAGTGCCTGCTGAGAGGGGCATCACCAGAGGGGGAAATGCCACCTATGGTGAGCACTCAGCAAAATTAGAGCAGTGACAGTCCATTTCAGAGGCAGATGAGCTTTAAAAGAACAAAAAACCGTCACCTCTTTGGAAGCTGCTCAGCAGGGAATTTTGATAGTGATTTGTAACCACGTATCTTATACGAAACACAATAAAAACAGCATCGTTTGAACAGAATGAACACTTGATAAGGCTCTCTTCCCTGGAGAATGTCTGAAATGATTCCAGGAGGCTGGGATGTTTAGCCGGGATTTGGATCTGAAAACGACAATGCACTCACACAAATGCTGGTCAGAGAGTGGTAAGACAAAAATGCTGAAAATTTCTAGACATTTTCTCTTATTTTAAAATGGGGTATGTGGAGAACACAGTACCCAGATAAGAATTAGCATTTTTCAGGACAGCAAGTATCAACTGTATTTATTTCCAGGGGCTTTGGTCACCTGAGTTATGCCAAGGAACCACTGAATCCAGAGAAGACACAGCGACTCTCCCTCCTTCTGCCTACTCTTAACTATGACACAGAAATTTACTGTTACTGGATTTTTTTCTTTTGTGTTCTCATTTTTCCCTTCTTCAATATTCCTTTTCAGTTACCATAAGCCTGAAGATAATCCATAACAAAGCTACAAATGCCTGTGGGGAGGAGGAAAATGGAAACATGAGATCATTTCACTGAACGACAACATATTTCTTCTACAGTGAATCTGAAACTGTGAATCTAAAAACTTCATTTTTTAAAATATAAGTGGTTTTGGGAGTATGTAACTTCATTTCTGAATATCTCCCACTCACTTTCAAATTTCCTTGAAATTTCCAAAACAATAAATGTCTTTGTCTTCTCCTAACAATGTGGGGAAAAAATTAAAAGTTTTTTGGATATTAAACATGGAAGAATAATAATACACAGGATGACTACAGCGTCCTCATTGCCATTTCCTATCAACAAGGCATTAAAAAAACAACAACAGCAACAAAAAGGTGTAAAAGGAGAACTAAAAACTAGGAATAAAACATCTGTCCTAATTTTGTTTGGTTTTTCTGGTGGTTGGATTTCATTATCTTTATAAACAATCATGAAAAATTCAAATAAGTATTACAGTTTTCATAGAAGCACTCTTAAATGACTACAGATGTCTTGGTAAACACAGAAGCCTCACATAGTTACAGTGAAAGATGAACTCTAGCCCCACAGTCCAGTGGTCACCAATTCCTTTATCCTTTTCATATGACTTTTAATAAAGTGATCTGCAATTTCTTGAAATATAAAATGAACACTTCCTTTATCATTTTCACATGACTTTTAATAAAGTGATCCAGAATTCCCTGAAGTATGAAGTTAACACTGCAATGTGAATGCTATCAACCCATTTTAACAAGATTAATTCCAAGGAGTTAAAAATGAACTTCTTATAATCCCATCCATGAATACTGGGAAAAAAAAAAAACCCAGAAAGTATTTTAAAAGCTACGAAATTGTTTCTCATTACCAATCAACAATTTATAGAAAGAAACCAGTATATTTACTTTCTGAGCAATTCAAAGTATGGAAGAAAAAGACCTAAATCGCTTCTCTGTTTATTATCCTTATCCCAGAACCAACAGCTTGCTCTGAGGGCCCAACTAGAGACATAATCATCAAATCAGAATCTCTGCCAGTTTTTTCCACACCAAAAACAAGAAGAAATCTTAATATGTGAGGTTAATGGTATGAAAAGAAAAGGAAAGAGAATCGAGCAAGAGGCCTCCTCCTAGCTGAGAGGCTTTTATGTACTTACCCTCTCAAAATAAAATCAAGAAAGTAGAAGAAGAAATCTAAACCACACTGGCTTGTGTGTCACTTAAGTCGTGTTGGGCAAAAGCAGTCAACACTTAGCCCCTCTTGGGATCTACACTAATTAAGTCACTAGACATCACCCTAATGAAGACTCCGATTATAGGTGGAATACGGGACCCAAGAATGAATGAAATGGGGAGAGATTAAGAGGAAACAAAAAAGAATCCAAAAATCAACTCCAAAGTAAGACATGTTCCTGTTGCCTCAGATACACCCGGGGATCCTCTCTCTCCATTTTACCATCTTGCTTGGTGCCCCAGGAGGCTGACTGGGAAGGATTTCACATCAACAGCTCTCTTGTGCTTGATCTTCCTGGGTTTATTAGTCCATAGGAGACACCAGGAGGAGACCAGAGAGTAAGAGAATGAGGAAGGTGTATCTATTTCCCCAGTTTGCTCCGTGCAAGGGAACCACAGATATGCTGTGTCCCCTTCAAAAGGCCACAGCTCCTGCTGGGTGGCCCCCTCTGGGTGCCTGTACCTGCTCCCTCACCTCGCTGGCCCCTGGTTATTGCACTCATTAGCCCTCACTGGTTACCTACAACTGGTCAGTACCTTTGTAAACAGTCCCTGAACAAGACTCTTCTCAGTCACCTAGCTGGAGTAGGCCATCTGTCTCCTGCTGAGACCCTGACAGGTACAAACAGCCAAAGGAAAGCACGGGCAGCTTAATAAATGAAGGAACAGGAAGGCAAGGGAATGGAAGTACCCTCTCTACTTCTTCTGCCCTTCCTCTATAAATCCTGCTGCTTTTTATCTAGTCACTAATTCACTCTTATAACACTCTTCTGGAAGCCAATCATGATGACACAGCCCAAAACCAGAATCTAGGGCTCGCTCCCGACCCTCCCCCAAAAGTACTAATAAATCTAATACTTGTCCCCCAGAGTATGTACACGTGAGCCTACCTGTCTCCCTGCAACACACGCTTTAAGACTAATCGCCAATCCTGACAGGGGAAACAGTCAGTCATCTCCACCACCTGAATATCCTCTCTCTTACAAAGGAACCAAAGGAAATTTGTGTTCAACCCTTTATACTTCGCCACTTTTAAATACACTGTCATTTTATCCTTTCAAAACTCTATGAGACGGATGTTTTTTTCCTCATTTCGTGGAAAAGAAAAGGCCTTGGAAAGGTGAGGGACCTGAGCTAGGATGACAATGGCTGGTAAGTGGCAACAGCAGAGCTCGAGCCCAGCCTTCAGCTGCCCAGTTTGGGTTTGGCAGTACTTCCACAGTCATGGCTGCCCAAATCCAGGATAATGAACTTCTACTGCCCACACTCTAAAAATGTCTCCACCTGGCTTTGACTACACTCAACTTTCATCCATCCGAACCCAATTCTGAATTTCTGAATACTACGTCAATTAATAGGGACCCATTTGGATTCTTGGTACCGTCTTCCAGGGCTGGCCACCCCTCCCAGGTAAATTTTACTGACAAATTGAATACTCACATTTTGATTCTATTGTATAAATGCAGCAAAATTCAAAGTGAAGGCAAGCTTCACTTAAGAGAAAATCTGTGTAACGCAAATGTTATAGGTACAATGGTAAAAGGAGTCAAAGTATTATTCTGTACTACGGACTAAAACATCAACCAAGCAAAGAACTCAGCTTCTTTGTTCCGTGAAAAGAGTTCTATCATGGAGACAAATTAACAATTCTTCACAAATGTGTAAAAGGCACATTTCACGTTCTTCTCCTCTTTTCATAAACTTACACAATATTCTCAGGGTTTGAAATGGACATTTTATTTCATTTGATTTATGCATGTTAATGGGTTTTCGCCCCTATATTTTGGCTGTGTTGGGTCTTCGTTGCACTGCGCGGGCTTCTCATTGCAGTGGCTTCTCTTGTTGCGGAGCACGGGTTCTAGGTGCGTGGGCTTCAGTAGTTGTGACACACAGGCTCAGTAGTTGCGGCGCATGGGCTTAGTTGCTCCGCAGCATGTGGGATCTTCCTGGACCAGGGCTCGAACCCGTGTACCCTGGGTGGGCAGGCAGACTCTTAACCACTGGGCCACCAGGGAAGTCCCAGAAATGGACATTTAAAAAATCTTGGGGAAAAAAAAAAAAATATGTTACAATAAAACAAACCCCCAGCTGTTCCAAATTATAAAAATGATGTTTCCTAAGGCCACATGGAAAGCATGAGAGACTTCACAATTCTTTATCTCTGAATGAAAGAAAGCAGACTTCTACTAGTAGGTTGCTTTGTGAATCCAGGGCTGGCTAATCTCTTTTCACAGCAGAGAGCATAAGTAACTCTTAACTTACCTAAAGAAATACAAATCTACTATTTTATCAAAGCCATCGATAAAATCAAATCTAGGAAGGAGCCCTTATATTAAATCTAGGGGGTGGGAGGCTCCATCTTTGCTAATTTGAATATATCTCCAATCATATTATTTAATAACAAGCATAACACACACAAGGATGTGAGGCTCCTTCATTGGTCTCTATAAATGTGGCTGAAAATTTTCTCTAGAAAAGTTATTTGTACCTATGGTTAAGTACTACGCCTTTTCTCACCTCAGCCCATCAAAACACCCAGAAATGAGACTATTTAAGAATCATGCTATTTGGGACTTCCCTGGTGATGCAATGGTCGAGAATCCACCTGCCAATATAGGGGACACAGGTTCGATCCCTGGTCCAAGAAGATCCCACATGCCGTGGAGCAACTAAGCCCGTGTGCCACAACTACTGAGCCTGCGCTCTACAGCCCGCAAGCCACAACAACTGAGCCTGTGCGCCACAACTACTGAAGTCTCTGCACCTAGAGCCTGTGCTCCACAACAAGAGAAGCCACCGCAGTGAGAAGCCCACGCACCGCAACGAAGAGTAGCCCCCGCTCGCCTCAACTAGAGAAAGCCTGCGTGCAGCAACGAAGACCCAACGCAGCCAAAAATAAATAAATAAACTTATTAAAAAAAAAAATCATGCTATTTAAAAAGGCCACTGGGCTTCCCTGGTGGCGCAGTGGTTGGGAGTCCGCCTGCCGATGCGGAGGCCACGGGTT